ATCGTGAGGTCACGCATCGTGAGGTCACGCATCGTGAGGTCACGCATCGCGGGGTCACGCATAGTGAGGTCACGCATCGCGAGGTCACGGATTGTGAGGTCACGCATCGTGAGGTCACGCATCGCGGGGTCACGCATCGTGAGGTCACGCATCGTGGGGTCACGCATCGCGGGGTCACGCATCGTGAGGTCACGCATCGTGAGGTCACGCATCGTGAGGTCACGCATCGCGGGGTCACGCATCGTGAGGTCACGCATCGTGAGGTCACGCATCGTGAGGTCACGCGTTGTGAGGTCACGCGTCGTGAGGTCACGCATCGTGAGGTCACGCGTCATGGGGGTCATGAATCGTGAGGTCACGTGTCGTGGGGTCACGCGTCATGGGGGTCATGAATCATAAGTAACACAAGTCCATGCAACATAAGGAACAAGTCGTCTGCGTCATACGTCATGGCGGTCGCACCTCATTGGGTGGGGGGGGGGGGGTCAAGCTTCATTTTTGGGTCACCCACACGCGTGCAATCAGCCTAACGCACATCTATACCTCAACATGGCTCCACCTCCACTCCCTACCACACAATGAACCGAGGTGCTCTTTGTGTCACCCTCCCGGTGGTATGCCTACAGAATATACAGATCGTGGCGCCCCCTCCCGACACGCGACAAAGCAGTAACGGCGGAATCCACGTACGATTCGGCGAAGCGATCTCGCCTCGGAAAGTAACTGCAGGTGACCGTGCGCGTCTCTGTTACACATACAATAATAATAATCACGGGGCACGCGCGCGCTCTTAACAACTGTACACGATTCATAACGCTAGAAATTTACCGCTCGTCGCCATCATCGTCTCATCAAAGGGAATAAATATATATATTTATATATATATCTGCGACTATCACTTATAACAACGACAACAACAAAGTTGTTTAACAGGTCCACCGGATGGCGCCACATGCGCTACGTGTAGTCACGCGACTGATAGAAGAGGATGTAGCCGGACTCCGAGTTCTTCTGGATGTCGGACGTAAGCCCGTAGAAATCCTCGATCGTCGATGCGTCGATTTTCTGTAAGAGACGAGAGGAGACATAAAGGTCTTCTTACAAAAGTCTTCTCTTAAACGTCCTCTTACATCGATTTTCTGTAAAATAGAACGAGCAGAAAGCGAGAGAGAGAACCCGACTAGATGTGCGTGCAGATGGCGACACTCGTCACCTTGTACGACCTTCGAGACGCATTCACTGCGCGACCACACGCGGAAACCGCCTCGAGGGTTTTTCCCGTTTTCGCAACCTTCGGGCTACCTCTCCATGCAATTATCGCGCGACCATCGCTTTATGGAAAGCCGTCGTAATTAACAGAATTTAACGCATTGGTTCGGCCGTTAATCATGTCACGCACAATAACGTGTCTTATCTTGTTATTGATTGTCCTATTTTAATTAATTGTGCCTAATTAATGGCCTACCTTTACTAACCGCATGCCTGCCCCTGTGACCTTGGGTTAGTTCACCACAGATAAGGTGATTTTAAAGGCTGGCTTGAAGGCAGGGCCGCTCATTAAAGTTGTAATGATTGAATGACATTTTACAATTTCCCGTGTCGTCACAGGAGAAATTGGGGATGCACTGATTGAGGGGATTGTGGAAATTCTAACTAGAGAGATAGGGGAGAGAGCGAAAGAGAAAGAGAGGGAAGGAGGGAGAGCTATACAGGCACACATACAGAGAGGGAGAGTGAGAGAAAGAGAGAGAGGGGGGCGAGGGAGGGAGAGAGAGACAGACAGGCACACATACAGAGAGGGAGAGAGAGACAGACAGGCCCACATACAGAGAGGGAGAGTGAGCGAAAGAACGAGAGAGGGGGGAGCAAGGGAGAGAGAGACGGACAGGCACACATACAGAGAGGGAGAGTGAGAGAAAGAGAGAGAGAGAGAGAGAGTGAGAGAAAGAGAGAGAGAGAGAGAGGCTGACAACGAAAGAGAGTGAGAGAGTGAGTGAGAGAGAGAGGGAAAGAGATAGATAGAAGAGAGAGAGGAGATAGAGGAGAAGAGGAGAGAGAGAGAGAGAGAGCGATGGGGGGGGGGAGAACAGAGCGAGAGAGAGAGAGAGAGAGAGAGAGAGAGAGAGAGAGCGCATGAGGGAAGTAGACACACACACACATAGAGACAGAGAAGCTCTAACTCACGTCAACAATGTCGTCGTCGAACAGCAACCAGAAGCCGTGGCTCTTCACTATGCTGATGTAGTGGCCGCGGTTAGGACCGCTGCCACAGTGTATCACAACTGCCACCAGGTCGTACATGCGATCCGGATTGTACGCGTCGTGCGACTGCAACAACAGATGGCGCCAGGTTACACAGCGGTAGAGACACAGATCGTCGGTGATATCTTGCAGGATCCCGGTCGGAGCGGTGTGAGTGAAAGAACGTGTGAGTGAGAGAATGAGTAATAGGTCTGTGTCTCTTGTGTTGGTCGCAGCGTGCGTGATAGAGGTACTTCTGTCGCACCGAGCACTGCCCTTCCCTCCTCCGATGCCACGCACCTAACCTCCCACAGATCCTGTCCACACCTGTTTGAGGCCACGCCCCTAGCTCCCCACACACCGCGCCCTCCCCCTAACCCTAGCCCCTTACACACTGCACCCTCACCCTAACCCTAGCCCCTTACACACTGCACCCTCACCCTAACCCTAGCCCCTTACACACACCCTAACCCTAGCCCCTTACACACTGCACCCTCACCCTAACCCTAGCCCCTTACACACTGCACCCTCACCCTAACCCTAGCCCCTTACACACCGCGCCCTCACCTGTCTGATGCCAGGGTCCCTAGACCACTGCATTCAACTTGCAACCCTCCTTCCACGCAACAGTGTGCACCAATAAATTCCATCACCACGAGATAGTGCTGCTGCAGCAGCAAGTGTTGGAGGCTGCAGCAGGCGTCGCCGTGGCGACAGCAGGGATTAGTGGCTCGGCGTGCTAACGACATTCTTGCATCGAGACGCGCCATCCCCCGGCGCCGCGGCCCGTAATTTGCCGACGTATCGTGGCAATTAGACGTCGGACGCTGTGACGATAATTGCAGGAGCTTCACAAAAGAGCGAGCTCGTTGCCACGACGATAAGCGATGAGGAGTCAATGATGAGCAGGCTGCGAGAGAGAGAGAGCCACCCTCGCAACACTCACTGCTCCTCATCTCCCATCGACGCCAAGCCTACACCTCCTCTGCTTCTACTATATACTTCCCCATCCACCCCTCCCTCCCCTCCACCATTCCCTCCTCTCCACCCCTCCACCCCTCCCTCCCCTCCACCCCGCCCTCCTCTCCACCCCTCCACCCCGCCCTCCTCTCCACCCCTCCCTCCCCTCCACCCCGCCCTCCTCTCCACTCACTCCTCTCTTTCACGCTCGCCCCTCCACTCTACCTTCCACGTTTCCACGTTATTTATTATTACTAAAGTTTTTTTATTAATTAAATTAATTAGTTTAATAATTAGTCCTAATTAATATAGTATTATTATTGCAGTACTCACTGTGTTGAATAGTCGTAGTTCTAGAGGGAACACAACCCTGTAGGATAGCTTGGTGTAGCGGTTTAGCTGCTCCATGTATTTGAAGCGCTTCAGGTGCAGAGCTAGGATCTGTGGCAGTCGCTTCACTCGCATCCTGTCAACAGCAACATCGCGCCATCGTCACCGCCACGCCCGTCACAGTTGTCACCGTGGCACATACCACAAACTTTATGTCACCATGACAAATGTCACAAAATGTATATGTGACGATCACACACATCACAACCTTTATCTCACTGGTACCCATGTCACAAACTGCATATGTCACTGCTACTGATGTCACAAACTTCATATGTCATTGTCACACTTGTCACAAACTTTACGTCACAGCCATAGACAGCACAAACTTCAATCCCTTACGTCAAACCCTCTGCTATCACCCTTACTCCTGGCACGCCTTTTTTCATCAACAAACTCATCAAGTACAATTTTCTGCTGCAACGCTCTTTCCTACTTAGTTAACCGTCTTTGAAGGTTTGCGAAAAAGTTTTCCGACGACGAAACGATAAGTGCCTACGACCTCAATGTTCACGCTCATGCAGACGCCAAAAGAAACCATCCCAAAGAGAGTAATTACTATTTAACATATTTTGCCAACGGCAACTTAATCAGGAGGATGCCTGTCATCAAAGCTAGCGCGTTCGTACACAGCCAAATTGACCAATCGGAAGCAGTGTCCACCCCCGCAGCATCGATGACGTCAGGAATTGCGTTGCATGACGGCAGCCGTGAGATGTGTGTGGGTGAAGAATGTTATGTGTGCCTGACAAGTGTATTATTTCTATGACAACAGCAGCTGGCCTTTCGGACATGAAATAACTCGAATTTCTCGAGGTTTGATGCACGGTGGACGTTGCTGCTGCTTCTGCTGCTACTACTTCTGCTGCTTCTGCTGTTGCTGCTGCTGCTGCTGCTTCTGCGGTTGCTGCTTCTTCTGCTACTACTTCTGCTGCTTCTGCTGTTGCTGCTGTTGCTGCTGCTTCTGCTGCTACTACTTCTGCTGCTTCTGCTGTTGCTGCTGCTGCTGCTGCTGTTGCTGCTGTTGCTACTTCAGTCGTTGTTGCTGCTGCTAAGGGATGAGGAGGCTTGAGAAACAACGACCATTCAGGGAGGCGATGGCAGAGTGTTGAGGTGTAGAATTCTCGGCTTTGTTCGATCGACGATGGGTGCAGAGTGGCGCAGGCAGGGAGGCACAAGCACACGCACAAGCACAAGCACGCACGCACGCACACTCAGACACACGCCCTGCCCTTTACTAATTCATTCTCGTGCTCACCCTCTCTCTCCCTCCTTTCCACCCACCATTCTCTCCCTTCCCCTCTCTCTATTTCTCTCCAACTCTCTTTCTTCCCTATCTCCCTCTCTCTCTCTCTCTCGCTGTCCCTTCCCTTTTTTTTCTTTCTAATTTCCTGTGTTGTTCTCTCTCCCCGTCTCGATTTCTACTGTCTCGTTTCCTTTTTGCTCCCTGTTACCTAACGAGCGGAAAGTGGACTTAGCTGAGTAATGAGTGTTTTTGCAACGAACGTGTAACATCATCTAATGCCTGCAGCAGCAGCAGCAGCAGCAACAACAACAACAACAGCAGCAGCAGCAGCAGCAGCGGCGGCGGTAACAGCAACAACAACAGCAGCAGCAGCAGCAGCGGCGGCAGTAACAGCAACAGCAGCAGCAGCAGCAGCAGCAGTAATAGCAGCAGTGGCAGGAGGAGGAGGAGCAGAAGCAGTAGCAGCAGCAGCAGCAGCAGCAGCAGCAGCCACAACAGCAACAGCAGCAGCAGCAGCAGCAGTAGTAGTAGTAGTAGTAGTAGGGGGTGCACACTAATTGCTCTGCACACAACAAGCAGACGAAAGCTATCCCAGACGAAACACGCTATCACTAGACGTCTACCTCTCTCCCGCCTGCTTTTTCTTTATCTCTCTCTCTCTCTCTCTCTCTCTCTCTCTCGCTCTGCCCGTTTCTCAAGCACTGCCTACCTCTCCCCCTTCCTTCCCCTCCTCTCTCTCTCTCTCTCTCTCTCTCTCTCTCTCTCTCTTATAATTACATCCTCTCTTTTTCCTCCTCGAGAAACACGACCTTGAGCGCCACCCCTATTCAGTACGCAGACGCTCGCACTTGTATTGCCATGGCACGGTGACCAACCACTCGTATGCAGCAGCAGCAACAATGAAGGGAGGGAGGGTGAGGGAGAGAGATATGAGGGGAGAGAGAGAGAGAGAGAGAGAGAGAGAGAGAGAGAGAAAGAGAGAGAGAGAGAGAGAGA